CGTTAATACATGGACACATGGACACACTCAGGTATACGTGGATTAATCAAATCTACTATATTCAACTATATAAACATTTTTATTACAATATGCATATATATTGTATAGGACCAAGCCGATTAGTCTTCTTGATTAAGTGCTAACTTGAGGATTTTACAAGAATGAATCCCAGCTCTGACGATGCTCGACATGTGACGAAAGAAAACTTAGCCCATCTTCGCCCGAAACGTTGGCGGATGCTTCGTGGACTGCATCAATCTGAACGTCGTACTAAAGCCAAACAGCTAAAGTATAATGGTGAGGATGATGTGTGAATCTCTTCATCGTGCACTTTCATACGAAATGGTTTTCATAACAATCTTGTATCAAAAGATTCTTCGAAATCCGCATTTTCTTAGTATATATTTCCTTAAAATTGGCATCTGATCTGTTACCCAAGAGACTACATTCAATGGAAACATACTGTATACTGATCATTGTAGAAAAATCATATGCCAGTCCTTCGACGCCACAAACGAAAAAAAGTGAGTACATCTCATGTATGATGCATTGCTGTTTTAGGAAAGCGGAATATTAAGCTTTGAAGCACCATGGGAATATCACCACAGAAATAGGTAAGAGTCAATTATAGTGGCAGATACAAATTTGCCTCAGAAGCCCCACCATAAATGTGATTCTGGAGAGGCTTAGCCTGCTCTGAGTTTCACACCTGTCCTTTGACCCAATGACATTTCTAGCACTATACTGGAATCGTTGCGTGCCACCATTATACTCACAAACCGGTTTCGCGTTCTGTTATGGATATTGATGAGACCTGGACAGGGTCGAATATGCAGTCCATTTGAGAGCAGGAAATATTTAGGGATGCAAAGCCAAATTAAATTCAATCATATCATGAGAATATTTCATTATGGGAAATCCCACTATCAGGACAGAGTGATTGCGATTTTTTGTTAAGAATAAGCTTCCTGTGCGGTGAAAGCATGTATAAGAACTTTGTCGAATTTTCTCCAAGAGGCAAGAATAAGTGAAATTTAATTAATTTGTGAGGCCTATTCAGTTCAATGTAGAAAAACTCATCTAGCAGCAGATATGTTATTAATAAAAAAATTACTGATAGTCTAGAAATCCACATAAAAATAGAGTATTGATAAGCCTTTGAAGGTAGCAAATAAACTAAAGAATACAATTATAACACAGCTAGTAAATCTTTGTTGAGGTGTCTTTTGAATTTGGACAGTTCCACTCAATATTTCGCTTATTTCATGTATTGTATTATTATTTGCAGTGAAAAGAATGGGAAGCGATTTATAATATCTGTTGAGATTTCTCAATTTTCGTCCAACATCCTGTTTTTTTAGCTGATTTTTTGTGATCTTCATAGTATAAAGCTTGTGATCAGCCGGAACTCGAATACAAGTCCATCAACAAGCCTTTCCGCCATTTAGAGTGGCTGTGGACAACAGAGTGTGCCCCACTTAAAAGAAGTGTCCTCAAACTCCAAACAACACGAAGGCCTCTGTAGCCAATTATTTGATTCTGTCCGTTAGCAACTCCTTGAAAAGAATGAAACACAACGCAAATGATACACGACTGCCTGAAATTCAGGCGCAAAAGAGCCTTAGCAGCGCTTGTTTTCCGTCTCCCAATCCAACCGTTCACTGGGCACTCAACGCTAAGAGGACTGAGGGAGATTCCTCTTGGATTTGACAAAGCGATGAATATATTCAGCTAAGGAATGACTTAAAGTCTTGGCCGAAAAATGAATTATCAGGGTTTTAATGAAGCAGATGATCACCAGTGAATGTTTACTGGTCGAGTTGACAACTCTCTTGAACAAATACTAGTTAAGCTATTTCCAACTAATAATTACGTCTTAAAAATCATTTCTTCTGACGATTATTTAAGCTACTAAGTGGAAGGAAGTTTGCCGTAATTGGCGATATATATTGAAACGTTAAGATTTAATATTGACTCATCAGCATACTATCATTCTTGAATATATCTATTCTTTGCATTCCTTTTTATGCCGATTAATATTGATGTGATATTTTCTTTATGAACCTGGCCATTAATGGATGAATTTCTTCGAAATATCCAAAAAATGGAATCGCATCTTCTGAATTGACTCTACCCGAAGGCATAACATTGCTTAGACTGGTTGCCAAGCGAAGCACATGTCGTCTCTTTTCGATACAAGTAAGAAAGTTGAACAAAAACAGCATGAAAAGCGCCACTCACCCGTTGTTGCATCGAATAGCCGCAGGTAGATCGGGTGATACCTGGTTTCCCCATCTTCTTTTTCAATGACGGTATCACTAACCACGACTTGGCCATGATTGACGTCGAACTGTGTGAAAGAGCGCAACTCTTCTCTGCTGGGCGTGTGGTCGACTGCCCTGTAAAGTCGCACACGATCTTTCCCATTTGGCTGTGGAGGAGGTCCGAAAAAAAAGAATAAAGGGAGTCGCAATTCTAAGTGGCTTATGGGGAGAATAGGAAAAAGTTTCCTTTAATTCAAACTGTATTTGTTTCTGAGACTACCTGTTACGTAAATTACTTTGAATAATCAAATTATGCCAGTCTTCTCATGCGGAAGCTGTGTGCGAATCTATGGTACCAGTAGATCATGGCTGATACGAGTTTAAGTAGTAGGAAATTCTCTTTACTAAGAGCTAGAGATTGAT